GGCCAATCACCAGGAGGCAGTGAGTTCTAGTCCACTGCTTAATCTACTCTTGTGTCTAATGGTTAAGGCACCAAGCTAGAAATGGAAAGACTGGGAGTTCTAGTCCCACCTTAGCTACGAAAGCCAATTGGGTGACTTTGGGCCAATCACCAGGAGATGGTGAGTTCTAGTCCACTGCTTAATCTACTCTTGTGTCTAATGGTTAAGGCACCAAGCTAGAAATGGAAAGACTGGGAGTTCTAGTCCCACCTTAGCTACGAAAGCCAATTGGGTGACTTTGGGCCAATCACCAGGAGATGGTGAGTTCTAGTCCCGCCTTAGACATGAAAGTCATGTTAGAAAGTCCTTAGTTAATAACTAGTTAATACTAATAATTAATAGAATTAATTAATGGGAGAAGGAGCAGGAAAAATCAAAGGTATAAATACAGATTAGGTGAGACTTGGATCAATAGCAGTAACTGTGAGGCGGATCTTGGAGTCCTAGTGGACAACCATTTAAATAGGAGCCAGCCGTGGGCACCAGCTGCCAAAAAAGCCAACACAGTTCTAGGCTGCATAAACAGGGATGGAATCAAGATCACGTGAAATGTTAATACCACTTTATAAGGCCTTGGTGAGGCCACACTTGGAATACGGCATCCAGTTTTGGTTGCCACGATGTCAAAAAGATACGGAGACTCTAGAAAGAGTGCAGAGAAGAGCAAGAAAGAGGATTAGGGGACTGGAGACTAAAACATACGAAGAACGGTTGCAGGAATTTGGGGTATGCCTAGTTTAATGAAAAGAAGGATTAGGGGAGACATGATAGCCGTATTTCAGTATTTGAGGGGCTGCCACAAAGAAGAGGGGGTCAATTTATTCTCCAAAGCTCCAGAAAGCAGGACAAGAAGCAATGGATGGAAACTAATCAAGGAGAGAAATAACCTGGAATTTAGAAGAAACTTTCTGCCACAGAGGACAATTAACCAGTGGGACAGCTTGCCACCAGAAACCGTGGGCGCTCCATCACAGGATGTTTTTAAGAAGAATCTAGACAGTCACTTATCTGAAATAGTATCAGGTTCTCCTGCTTGAGCAGGGGGCTGGACTAGAAGACCTCCAAGGGTACCTTCCAGCTCAATCATTCTAAATTTGACCCGGATTCTGCCGCTGGAATTCACAGAACGGACCGAATGGGAAGCCGGGGGTAGGGGCTTTGGGGGCAAAGGAGAGAACCCCGCGGTGCCCATCTGAGCTTGGCAGGGGGCTGGACTAGAAGACCTCCAAGGTCCCTTGCAGCTCATTCATTCTAAAGTGCAGCGGAGAAGCGGGGTTGGCGGGCAAGGGTCTCGGGCAGGGGGCGGTGGGCACGGACTCACCCAAAGCAGCAGGCAGAGGCCGAGGAGGGATCGAGCGGCCGCGGCGCTGTCCATGGCGTTGCCGCGGGGCTCAGCTCGCCCGGGGCGGAGGAGGAAATCCTGCTTCGTGGACAGGTGAAGGAGGAAGCGGGGAGGGGCGCGGCAGGTGAGCCAGCTGGCCCGGCCCCTCCTCGCTCTCCCGCCCCGAGGCCCTGGGCTGGAGTCGGAGCCGACGGCCTCTGAGCTTGGGCAGAGCGCCCGTGGGCTCCTAGACTAGAGGCTGCCCGATCCTTGGGATGGAAAAGTGGGGTCTGGGAGGAAGGGGCCCAACAGGTCTTTGCACCTTTCTGCCCATCCCTCCCTTTGCCCATCCCGTCCGTCCTTCCTGCCCATCCATCCATCCATCCATCCATGCCCATTCATGCAGAGAAAAGCCTCAAAGAAGTTCAGGGCTCCAGGGCTCTGCTTAACTGATTTCCCTCTCTGGAAAATTAGCATTCAACATGGCATTAAGAATTGTTTGGTAATAATAAAAACATTGTTAGTTCTAGATAGATAGATAGATAGATAGATAGATAGATAGATAGATAGATAGATAGATAGATAGATAGATAGATAGATAGATAGATAGATAGATA